TTCTAGCGTCCTTATTTTTAGGTGTGGCGCTTGCCTGTCCTGCTCATTTGCAGCAAACACTACCAGAGATGCTGGAGGTGGGTGTGAATATAAATATTCACAGCGTTTGGCAAGCACATAAAATTTCTTTTCTGCCCTCTTAGACATTGGTGGCAAAGGGGACGGGGTCTGCCAAAGGGCCTTGGCCACTTTCAGCACCCCTTCATGCACTGGCAGCATACCTTAGAGAGTGCTGCAGCCACCAGTATGGCAAAGAGGCTATGTGTTGGCTCTGAGCTCTTCCTGGTGGGCCGAAAGTCATCTGGTGGGAGTGGGTGGGAGGAACCTGCAACTGCCTCGTCCGGGGATGAGAAGGATGACGACAATACCAAGGGAGGCGCTGTGGCACCTTCTACCGGGAAGTCTCTCTTGGACCGACACTTGCCCTTCAGTACCAGCATCAGAGACCAAGTCTGGCTCCTTCACCAGTGCAGGCAGTGCCACGGACTGCTTCTCGGATGTGGCTGCGGATGATCAGTGAGAGTACAGGTCTGGCATCATGGGGAGCTGCGGGTCCAGCTCTAAAGTCCAGTGCCCAGGCTGACCAATGCTTCTGAGGCTGCGAACTGAACTCCCCCTCCGACTCCGAGGAGGACTCCTCCCTCGGGGATCATGGCGGGGCTGTCAGTGCCTCCCTTTGTCAGCCCTGACAAGAGGCCGGAAAGCAGTGCTAAGAGGAAGGTGACCGGCAGCGTTCCGGAGAACGGTACCGCGTAGGCAGGGACCAGAGTCGAGATGGTGGAGAGTGGCACCGAGCTGGAGACCACGTCGAGGACCTTCGAGGAGTCAGCGATTGGTGCTGCAGCATCACCAACTGTTGCCGAGAGGAGGGCAGCTGGTACCGGGAGTTTGATGACTGACACTGCAAGGTCAGTGAGCCACATCATGAAGCTCGAGAGCGCGAACATGGAGCCGGTGACCTGGGCCGCGGGATCGGAGACCGTAGTTGTGGTACAGGAGATCAGGGCCGTGATGTGACAGACTGGTGCCATGACTCTGGGACCAGCAACGACCGAATGCCCATTGCGGTGGTCCCATGGAGAGCTTCCATTTGGAAGGAGGAGCCTTCGCTGACACTGTAGCTCACTGGAGATCCCGTTGGTAAGCGGTACTGGGAGGGCCATGAGGTCCCTGGCCACCTGAAATGCCTCTGGCATCGAAGGAACCGTTATATGTAGGGGTCCCCTACCGCTCCCAGGAGTGTGAGGTAGTTCCCTGGATAGGATCGGGTGAAGAGGCTGCCCCTTGCCACTCCACAGAAGGCAGGTGGCCCGACACAGGTCATTTATCTGCCCTCCCTTTCCTGTCCTTGCTCAGTGCCGGGGAGCACCCCCGCTGTTTTTTGCACCTCTTTCTTGGCATCAGCGATGGCGAATGGTGCCAGGGTGAGCCCAGTGCCGGTGGAGCATTCCGTACCAATGCGAACATGCCCAGTGCAGAGTCAGAATGGGATGATTCTGAAGCCGGTCTCAGAGCCGCCTCCATCAGGAGGGCTTTCAAACAGATACCTCTGTCCTTGGTCTAAAGTTCTTACGAATTCTGCCCTTATCTTAAACGTGCGTCTCCCCCAAACACTTCAGACAGCTTCTATAGGAGTCACTGACCAGCATAGGCTTATGGCAAGCGGAACACAGTTTGAAACCCGGGGACTGGAACATGCTACATCCCTGGGATGATGTCCCTAATGGGACCATTAACTAACTCTAACTTACTAACTACAAAATACTAACTCTATTGAACAACTATATACAAGAAATTATGACAGAGAACCACTGTAAGCACTTGCAGTCGCAAGAGGAAAGGCGTTCCAGCAACTGTCACAGGCGGTAAGAAGGAACTGAGAGGGCACAGGTCCAGCAACTGTCACAGGCGGTAAGAAGGAACTGAGAGGGCACAGGGCCGGCGGCACCTCATATACCGGTGCATGAGCGCAAGGCTCCAGAAGGTACCAGGCTCAGCCCTACAGATACCACTAAGGCAAAAATCTCCAGCAGCCACATGGGCACGCACACCTAACATAGCATCAACATGAACAAGCACTTGAAGAACTCCTCCATTTTCTGCAAAGCAAACATGTGAAAGTTCTCCCACTTCCTGAATATCTAAAATATGAGCCTAGTTCTCACCAGTGCAGCATGTACACAGCACTTCACTCATGAATATTTAAAGAAGCTGTTTAGTGACAGGGAAAATAACTGCTAAATTCTGGCAGAATAAAATGGTCAATTAAAAACACACACAACTCTTGTAAAGAAACTAACAGTGACCCATATGAGAACCCACTATACCAATCTAATTTTTCTCTTCCCTTAGATAACATAACTCCACATAGCATATAAAGTACTGAAAAGACTATCACTGTCTTGAAATGTAAGAAAATGAATCTGAGTCTGTGTCATGCGGATCACTGTTGAACCTGTTGGTTAAAGCGAATTCCTGTAAACAAAATAATAATTAGAATGTATGTAGCATTTTACATTTTCAAAGCACTATATGATCACCAGGGTCCTGATTCTGATCTCGCACTAGTGTAAACCTATCAACTTCAACTGAGTTGCTCCTGATTTACAACGGTTTTAAATCAAAATAAGATCTAGCCAATTAAGCCTCTCAACACACCTGTATGACAGGTATTATTTATCCTTATTTTACAAATTAGGAAACAAACAGTGAGGGTAAGCGAATTGCCCAAGCACACATATACCTAGACATATCTCATATAGGCTCCTGTTTCTAGTTTAAACTAAATAACTGTTTAGGGCTGTCGATTAATCGCAGTTAATTCACGCGATTAACTCAAAAAAATTAATCGTGATTAATCACACTGCTAAACAATAGAATACCAATTGAAATTTATTATATATGTTGGATGTTTTTCTACATTTTCATATATATTGTATTCTGTGTTGTATTTGAAATCAAAGTGTATATTATTTTTATTACAAATATTTGCACTTAAAATGATAAACAAAATAAATAGTATTTTTCAATTCACCTCATACAAGTACTGACTGTAGTGCAATCTTTGTCATGAAAGTGCAACTTAAAACGTAGAATTTTTTTGTTACATAACTGCACTCAAAACCAAAACAATGTAAAACTTCAGAGCCTACAAGTCCACTCAGTCCTACTTCTTGTTCAGCTAATCGCTAAGACAAACAAGTTTGTTTACATTTACAAGAGATAATGCTGCCCTCTTCTTATTTACAATGTCACCAGAAAGTGAGACTAGGCATTTGCATGGCACTTTTGTAGCCGGCATTGCAAGGTATTTACGTGCCAGATATGCTAAACATTTGTATGCCCCTTCACTCTTCTGCCACCATTCCAGAGGACATGCTTCCATGCTGTTGATGCTCATTAAAAAAATAATGCATTAATTAAATTTGTGACTGAACTCCTTGGGGGAGAACTGTATGTCCCCTGCTCTGTTTTACCTGCATTCGGCCATATATTTCACGTTATGGCAGTCTCGGATGATGACCCTGCACATGTTGTTCATTTTAAGAACACTTTCACAGCAGATCTGACAAAACGCAAAGAAGGTACCAATGTGAGATTTCTAAAGATAACTACAGCACTCGACCCAAGATTTAAGAATCGGAAGTGCCTTCCAAAATCTGAGATGGCCAGGGTGTGCAGCATGCTTTTAGAAGTCTTAAAAGAGCAACACTCTGATGCAGAAACTACAGAACCCAAGCCACCAAAAAAGAAAATCAACCTTCTGCTGGTGGCATCTGACTCAGATAATGAAAATGAACATGCGTCGGTCCACACGGTCTGCTTTGGATCGTTATCAAGCAGAACCAGTCATCAGCATGGATGCATGTCCCCTGGAATGGTGGTTGAAGCATGAAGGGACATATGAATCTCTAGTGCATCTGGCACCTAAATATCTTGTGACGATGGCGACTACAGTGCCACGAGAACACCTGTTCTCACTTTCAGGTGACATTGTAATCAAGAAGCGGGCAGCATTATCTCCCGCAAATGTAAACAAACTTGTTTGTTTGAGCGATTGGCTGAACAAGAAGTAGGACTGAGTGGACTAGCAGGCTCTAAAATTTTACATTGTTTTATTTGTGAATGCAGTTTTTTTGTACATAATTCTACATTTGTAAGTTCAACTTTCATGATAAAGAGACTGCACTACAGTACTTGTATTAGGTGTATTACTATTTATTTTGTTTTTTTTACTGTGCAAATGCTTGTAATAAAAATTTAATATAAAGTGAGCACTGTACACTGTGTATTCTGTGTTGTAATTGAAATCAATATATTTGAAAATGTAGAAAACATCCAAAAATATTTAAATAAATGGTATTCTATTATTGTTTAATCGTGTGAGGGTTACTTGTCTCTATCAGCTTATTAGGTCCTCACTGCCCCCCCCCCAACATAGGGACCCTGAATGGCGTAAGGAGAACCTCTTATGTTGGGGGCAGTGGAGTGATACTGGTGTCTGTCATATTCCTCTCCCTAATTAACCCAGGACTTTGCGGTATTAGGAGTGCTTGGTTCTCTCCAACCCCATCCCAAGTTGAATCTAAGGGGATGTCTACACAGCCCACAGCAGCAAGTCTCCGAGCATGCCTCCTCTCTAGGTTTCAGAACCAGAGCTCCATCCCAAGCTGCAACTTCAAACAGCCATTTTTACAGAACTACCACAAGCCTGAGTCTATCAACCGGGCTGGGAGGCTCGCTCCCAAATGCTGTGTAGACATACCCTCAGAGGCCCTAGTGCAGTTTCCATATGACACATAAGCTAAGGAGCTGTTCTATTCAGCAGCCAGGTCTGGTTCTGCCTCATGCTTCCCCATCATACTGAGTCAGAGTAAGTTTAATACACTATCATTTTGCTAAGTAAATACCATTCCAAGTGCTCCTTGTCCTCTTTTGCTGTCAGACTACATTACTTGGCTGCTGGATCAGACAAGAATTATAAGTTAAGTGTGGTTTACCTGTTAGATAGCACAGCTCAGGGATCAGGTGGACAACACGTGGTTCAACAGTGCTATTCTGCTTACTTTTCAATCGGCTAACCAGCATAGGCTGATTTAGGTCAGTCAGGACTATATCATACTGCTGTAAGGTGAAATATTATTGAGGAAAAGGTTAATCAGGAGACACTGCACCACATTCCAGATAATTAGTCAAATCTGCTCATAAGCTGCAAGCTATTCCAGTGGCTGTGTTCTGGACTGTACAATAAAGACCAAATTAATCTTGTCCACACATAGAGATACATGCACTCCCCCACTCCGGAGGTACAAAGGGGAAGGAAAGCAGACTTTCCCAACCACATGGGATTCCTCTTGTGTAGATTTCAGAGTAGCAGCCGTGTTAGTCTGTATCCGCAAAAAGAACAGGAGTACTTGTGGCACCTTAGAGACTAGAGGAATTCCTGTGTGGTAAAACTGGCATAGATACTTCTAAACCAGTCATTCCTTACTCTCCCGATGTATAAGGCATACAGTGCAAGAGCTGAAGCAGGCAGTGCTTCAGCTATCCCCAGCTCAGGGGATCGATCCTCAGGAACCACAGCTAACTCGACATAATTCACAACAGGCCTGAGACTGTTCTAAATTGCACCAGTTATCAAAATCAGCCCCCAGGATTAGGGGGAAGGGCAGAGAGTGGGGTCCAGTACACTGAGAATCTAGCCCTACATTTTTATCCTGTGCTTCTAACATCATTCAAAACTACTCTCTGGAAAGATATTGGGCCTGATTCCACTGAGTGTTAATCGCTACCAAATAGGAATTGCTAATATTTTACACAGGTCTAAATACCTACACAAGGTACAAGGCAGTACAGAATCTTAAGTTTTCTTATACGACATTTTCTGCTACTGTTCTCATGCTGCCGCCACCATCAGCTACTATATTCCTTTTCTGGTTTCCACGTGTATTTAGAATAATCTTTTGCTTCCACTGAAAGTGATTCCTGACCAACCAAAAGGGATAAGAATGAAGTATTGTCTTCTCTGCATATCAGCATGCCAATCCCTATCTTTCTGTATTTTCTTGTATTTGTAAAGAACCAGTTCATATTATAAAGACAGAGGTTCTAATTCACCATCACCTCCAAAACAACTCAGACACTAACAAAGGAGAAAATGGAACCAAAATGCATAAAGTGACTTTATACCTATAGACATAAAGGGAGGTATCTGACTAGCTAGCTACTTTATACATCTGCATCAATAATTACAATGAAAGGCCAGATTCTGTTATCAGTTATACCAGTATAAATCAGGAGCAACTCCACAGAAATCAGTGGAGTTACTGGAGCTACTCTGGCACGAACAATAAGACCATTCAGGAAGAGTATATTTGAAGGTACAAGGCCAAATGCACCCAACAAGTGTAAAAGTCCCAATTTTATCTTTTGGCCTAATTAAACCTTTAAATGAAAAGCAGTAATACTTTACCTCGATCTAATGTCTCAAAATATGATTAGGATAGGATGCCTGCGATAAGACCAAATGTAAGCCTGCCCCTTAAACATATGAACAAGGGCAAAGATGGATGATAATGGCATTCTAACTACTGTGCAGTTGTGTTTCCAGCACCGGAACTAATGAAATATAACACCTTTTATTGTGTATTGTACACGCAGCATCTTAAGAGTATGAGCAGATTTTTTCCATATTAGCATGTTTAAGTGCTTTGAAGCATATTAAACACAAAAAGGGACTATTTCTAGTCTTATTGTACATTGGTAATATAGATTTTTAGATATTTTTAGATATTTAAAATTACTTTTACTAATACACTGTGCAATATAGTAGCGATGAGTGTGAAAATGCTTTTTGCCACACTCTAAGTGTACTCATGATTTTATGCATGTTCATAAAGTGCTTTAAATATATAAGTACCATGTAAGTGTGAAACATCATTATTCTTAGGATTTCACTGTAACTTATTTTTTATGCATGTATGTTTATGGATGGAGCGATGTTTGCTCTTACTTGCCAAGAGCACTCTGTCCTGAGCATACTTTAAGACAATGGAACAAGTAAAAGTTCTGTTACTTTTCATAAGAGGTTAAGCCAAACGCTCTAATATATATAATGCTGTTAATAATATTTCACACTTATAAAGAACTATTTCATCTTCAAAACACTTTACAAACAGTTCCTCATCCTAGAACCTGGCAAAGAGTTACCAGAGTCTATTAGTAAAAGTAATTTTAAACATCCAAATGTAACAGTACTGTATTTCCAATGTACATCATACTACTAAAAATGGTTCCTTTTTTGTGTTTAATATAGAAAACCTTGGTCATACTTGCCACAATTACAGCGCCAGTACATTCAGAAGCGACAATACAATTAAAAAAAAATTTATATTATTTTGTAACAGCTTCCTAGTTTTTAACCTACCTGCTTATAATAATCAACGTAAGAGATTTCAGTGCCATCACGTTTTGGAAATGTGTCAGTTGGCTTCACACACCAGTCAATATCATCAATACGGTAGGTTTTATTATTATATCTGTGAAAATGCAGAATAAGTGAGGGGATTTAATTGCTTGGCCTGTTTAAGTGTGGTATAAATGACTGTAGTTATAAGCCTTCTCCAGTACAGAGAGTTGTCCATTTGGAAATATGTGGGAGGAAGTTTAGAATGACACAACAAATATTATCAGTATATCGCCTAACAGTTGTATGTGATGTTGTCTTCTATATTTTCTCAAAGGATAAAGCTTGCACCTTTAATGAATTTTCAGTAGTACAATAAAAACTTTAAAAAAAATCTTATCAAATATTACTGCAAACCAGACTGATTAATTTACAAAAGACAGTTTTAACATAGATGTACCAGTAGATACATATTTACTCTAATAACTTGGTGATCACTTTAACTACACTGAATTATGTTTTAAAAAAATCTAAGGCTCCAAACCAGCAAAGACATATGCATGCATTAATTTTATCTACTGCAAGTATTCCCATTGAGGCCACTGGAATTACTCACAGCACCCTAAAAATAATGACATACATATGTCTTTGCAGGATCAGTGTGCAAGCTTTGAAGTCATCAAATTCAAGGAGTACATATCCATCACTCCTTCCAGGCCAGAAGGAAGAGGTGCCGCAAGAGCAATCCAAACAGGGAGACTAAACAGACTAAAATGGTGTGCTACCTAGTCCCAACAGGGGTTGAACAGTGGCCCAACATCAGACACCAGAAGGTTCTGTTTAAAAATCAGAATAAAAAAAGAAAGCTAAGAGTCACACTGTGGTACATGTAGCAGGCAAAGGAAATCAAAACCCTGTACAAATCCAGGTTCTGCTGGGGTGTTTTGGCTTCTCCCACTCCAATTCCCACAGAACAGGAGGATCATGCAGGGGGAAGGGTCAATAATGGCCAGCTCAATCTTCTAGAGACAGTAAGGTCACAGTGAGGGGAGAAAACTGATGGCCCACTGTCCCTTCAAAGGGCAGCAATACCGTGATAGGGAGGCTCCCTCTTAAAGACACTTCCCATAGGAGGTTCTTTTTCTGGCAGAGACACCCAATGCACTCCCACATGAGGTACATATCCTTGTGACCTGGACATGCCTCCAATATCCTCCCAAACCAGGCTAATAGCCACACAAACGAGCAGCTCTCCCCCACATACATTATCCACCTCCACATTTGTCCTCTTCATGGGACACTCCGCTTTCTTTCATGCTCTCCTGCTTTTGCAGATCTTTCTACTGCAAGACACACCTATAATCCTTAATAGACAGCCATCTCCTGCCTCATGAACACTTAGTTTATGAATGACATAAGAAACCACTATAACTTTTAACATAGACTACCACTTTTTAAGTAGAAAGAAGTGCAAAAAGCCACTATGTACAAATAGTTCTAGTTGACAGGACACCTAAGTCAACAGAACAGCAAAATAAATAGTGATGTCTTTACCTCGTAAGCACAATAAGCCCTACCAGCTCCTTTTCACATGTTTGTATGAAGCACGCGCTGTCAATCCTGGTATACAGACTTGTCATGAATTCCAGAACAGTCTCACTGCGAAGGACTTTATGGCTCACGTCAGCACTTAACATCACTCTGTTCTCAAACTGTGTAATGGAAACAGCAAATCCTGGCCAAAGAGTCAGTCTTACGGAATGCAAAGAAAAATATTTAAAATAACTATTTTTGAATTAACACATATTTAACAATGTAGGTCCACTTCCACCATCTTGGCTGCCATGTGTTTAAAATTAAGTTTTGCATATTTATTGCTACACAAACATGCAAGACGTATAACCTCTCTCTCTTCTCACACTGGTAATACAAAGAGTATCATCACTGGTTTGCCTAGCTCCTGCTGCTCTGCCTTATGGTAGCGACTCTGTACCCAAGTTCCTGCTGCAATTTGTATTAATAATTCAGCACATCCTAAGAATTAAAATAATAAATCCTCTGTGTGATGGCAGGGATTCTGTTCAAACACAAGGCTCAGACATTAAAACTATTCTCCAGCATGATGTACTGGAAAGGGTTTACATGTTACCATAAACTGTTATCAGAAAATTCTAGAATTAAGGGGAGGAAAAAACCCAAAAACCTTACTTGTGCTGGGGAATTTCCACCGGGTCTGAAGGACTGTAGAAGTTCCGTCCAACTTGGCACATGGACAGCTTTTTCAAAACCCTATGTATTAATGCATATTTTTCAACACATCACACAACAAGTATAATTCTTAGAACACACTGAAAATAGATGATATTTTAACTCATTATTAGATCATTAAATTTTAAGTTAACCAAATTCACAACAGAAGTCTCAAATCTAGCTATATTCTTTACTCCTAGGGGAATTCTGCACCAAAAAAATTAAAAATTCTGCTCACAATATTTTAAAATTCTGCAAAATTCTGCATATTTCATTTGTTAAACTAACACAATATAATCATGCTAGTTTCAATTATTTTGGTAATTTATTTAAATTACAATACAATGGATGGAGAATGGGAGTGGGGAGCATGGGAGGAAATCCCCAAGCCACCTTTGTCTAATAGTAATGTAGTTAGGTTTGACCCTTTACTTTGAATTATTAGTCAACACAAATATATGCAGCCATATGCTCAGTGTTACATCATAGGCAACTGAAGAGCAAGTGAGGGTTGGGGAATCAAACTCACAATTTATATTGGCTATGGACCATCTCCAGAAAGGTCAGTAGCAAACAGTTCATGGAGCACATTTTGATAGGAAATTTTTTCAGTCCAAAAATTTAGAACAGTTCTAATCACTAAAGCACCATAAGCCTTTATAAGGCCACACTGTCCTTTATAATAAGGCTCCTTTAGACCACTCTGGCAACATAAAGGAGCTTTAAAACTTTTACACCTGTTTTATACTCCTGGGGGAAATTCACTAAGAACAATGGGTACAATTCTGCTCTGCCTGAGGGGACAGAGCCTGCTCCATGCCTACCACTCCACGCTGAGCGTGCCGCAATAGCAAGCGAGAGGGACAGAATGTCTCTCACTCTCTCTCTCTCACACACACACACACACACACACACACGACTGCCCAGCCTCCTCCTCACCCCCGTCTCTACCGGCTGCTCTGGGCGCCTGAACCAACGTGTCTGCACTGCCAGGGAAGGGCACATGACTACTCCTGCGGCCTCCCTTTGCTTCCCCATCAGAAGTCACTTTTCTGCAGTGAAGCAAAGAAATCTGCGAAGGTCATGAATTCTGTGTGCAGAATTCCCCCAGGAGTAATTTTTCAAACGAAGCTATCTTCTAGAAACTGCTCAGGTTTCAAGACAGCAATCTGGACCTGAAAATTAAACTATATCTAGTAAATCTCACAATCTACTGTGCAAGAAAAAAAATTAAAAAGAAAAAGACCACATCCAGATCAGTGACACATAGTCAAAAGGAAAAAAAGGGGCAGTTCAGAAACCAATATCAGCTATAATACCTTAGTACAAATTGGAAATACTGCAAGAGTTCAGGACAACAGTAGCTAGTACTACCCCATTCTATTGAAAGGTCTAATGCACAATTGATAACTGAAGTCAAAAAGTCTGTGTGGTGGCGATATACAAACACTTGGTATGGGGGCAATGAGGCCACACAGCTGTGAGATTTGATTAAGACATAGTTGAGTTATACCTGCATTATGGAATGCAAGAAATGAATTCATTCCAATGGTTCTTATAAAAGAAAAAACATGTCCTTTAACAAATGCACACAATTCCATTAATTCCATATACTGAGCTATTCATGTGTTAAGGAAGTGTAGAATCTCTAAAAATGTGACCATCTTCAAAATTCAAGTGGAAATCACTACTGCTGCCCAAAACTCTGGACATAAATAAAGTTTTAAATAATAGGTAATACTACTACATTATGACAGTATCACATTTATGTTGACACTTTCAGCAGAAGCACTTATATTTTCTATAACTACTTCTGGCAATTAATATTTCATAACAAATTTTTTTTACTACGTACAATACACCAAGAGATTTTCAACCCACATTTTTACAACTTGAACAATTGAAAAAGTCAGATGCTGCTAGATATGCAACTTTTTAGAAGTTTAATTTTCACACCCTTTTTTATAAGGCCATGTTTTTATGCTCCATCTTTAACAGTTAATCTAAAACAAACACTTTCAAAACCACTTACTTTTTGAAGATGATATTGAAAAACTGAATGCACACAGGGGAACTTGATGCTAGCTGATTTGTTAGTGTAATGGTGATATTTACAGTCTCACCTCTTTTCGTTACACTCACTAATTCTGTAACCTAAGAAAAAATTCAAAACACATACATATAATATCCAATCCACAACTTTCCTTGAATATAGAATAGTAGCTGTAAAAGTCTAGCTGCCCAAAAATGTATCCTATATTACTTTTCAGATAATTTGTCTTTTCATCGATTTTCTGGGATCAGGAAGTTAATCTTCACAACAAGGACTATAACTAATGCAAAAATTAACTGGGCAGGCAGGCCTTCGACAAACATATCCAGAGCACTGTGTTTATTGGCACAATCTTTACTCTCCCAAAGATAGAGCTTTCCTACAATGCAAAGGTCACTGATAATTTAAAATTTATTTCTGTGCCAGAAAACTACTGCTACAGCATAACCCAGAAGAAGCTAAAGGGTTGTGGCATTTTCTTCCATAAACCCATTTAAACAGGTCCTTGGTTTACAAGTCTTTTTCTCCCACTTACTCACCTTTTGTTCCAGTAATATGTTTCAAACTGCAGACTATTGGAACACTAGCAATATTACTAAAAAACTTAAGACTGAGCAGTGCTTGTAAGGCCACCAAACACTGGGAAATACAACTAAAGTGCAATAGCAATTTTAATATGGCAAAGTGAAGCCACTTCAGTGTGCTATGTGAAGCCCCAGAAAATAAAGAACTGTACACCATAGTTCTGTCTTTTTCTACTTTTTAAAAAACATATTGTATTTTCAAGCTTTGAAAAGTGTTAGATTGACAGACCTGGAAACTGAAACCCTCTATTAGCTTAACAGACATAACAAACAGTTGAAATGGGAGCTATGCTCAATTAAAGATTGCCAGCATGTATGCATACATGCAGCACTAATGAAATGCAGGCACCTCTGGGTAGAAGGACAGAAGTCAGACAAGACAACCAGCATGTAAAACTCTACACATCAGAAGATGGTGGCCAGGGGAATTTTGGCCAAGGACATCATTACAGTGCCATCTTTAGTGTCCTCACAAAGCGGACAAGCCTCAATTTTTAAAGCTCCACATACAATAAAATGCATGGAATTCAATACATCTACCTTGGAAGATGATTAACTGAACTGATCCTGTTATTTCAATTTTAGTGTTTAGCTCACTAAACCATCCCCTCCAGCAGATGTTGCCAATACCAAACAAACTTCAGATAAGAGGAGATGGCTTGGTCACAAAATTATTTGAACTCTTTTAAACAAATAAAACAAAAGGTTTTGGGGAGGGGATAGTTTCAGCCTGCCAACACAAAGGTCATAATTAAAATGACTGCGGCTTTGTGGTAATGCAACAGTGCACAAGAGGCTTATCTTCACCTGATTTTCCAGCTTTTGAGAAAGAAAAAGGATAGCTCCATCAAATGCTTTGGCTTTTCCAAGAAGTTCGGAATGGCTGTAAAGCAAAGCAAGGCGCAAGCGCCTTGATTCCAACTCTGGATTAAATGTTACATGGTATTGGTAAAGCTGCCATTCCCTGGGCAAGCCTAAGCTATATAGGTTTGTGACCACTTTCACTGGAATTCCACTGAAGCCTGAAACAGATAAGTAAGTTTATTTCTTTTAAGACAAATATTACTACCAAAAATATTTAAATCATATTACATGATTACAGGCAATACTTTATTGCCCAGTAACCTTAAGAAACAACACTAAGATCTTTTTGACAAGAAAGTCATCAAAATACAAATGCAAGTCAATCAAAATGAATGCCTTACCAACATCAATATAAGTAGATGGAACACAATGTCTAATGAAACATAAGATGATACAAATGGGCTGGAAAAAATAATTTCCCACTGCCAACATATGTTATTTTACAAAAATACACTAAAGATTAGTTTATTTCTCCCAATGAACTATTTGATGGTGACTGGCAAACGTACCGGACCTGTCAAAATAAATAATAATAAAGCTCCAAATAAATATGGTAATATGGGGTGGGTGGGTAACCAGCCTTTGATTTCTTATTCTGAAGGATCATGAAGACCAGACTTATGACCAATCACCAGGTTACACACAGAGAGATGCCCTAATGTGTACTGTTCTGGAGACATAACTAAGGAACCCTGCTGATGTCAGCTTGTAAGGGTTAGGTCAGATCAATCAATCGATCTCTCACTCTCTCTCTCTCTCTCAAAAAAGCAGTTTCATAAAATACTTATTACTACCATATTTTATATTCCAGACAAAGCATGACACATATAAATGGGGTCACTGTACTTAAGCAGAGCAATTTTGCTTTTAACTGTAAACCCAAACTGCTTTGCAGTATAATAAAACAGTACACCACCATGATGTAGCTGATTTTTTCTAAAATGTTCACTCATCCCAGTTATACTTGCCCCTTTGAAATGCATGCTGTTGTCTGACTAAGAAATAAAACTGTTTAATTCTGTATCATGTTCCATCCAAGGATCTCAAAGCACTTAAATATTAACGGATTAAGCCAGACAATACCCCTGTGAAGTAGAATGCTGTTATCTCCATTTTATAGATGGGGAGACATAGGCATAGAAGGCTTTATAAGTAGTTTACATAAAGTCACACAAAAAGTAAGAGGCAGATTCAGTAACAGAACACAGATCTGACTCCCGGTCCTTTGCTACACCCCTAAGATCACATTTCCATTCTAGTGGAATTTTTTGTTTAGCAGAGACTACGTTTTTCTATGAAAAAATAAAATCAAAATGCCCTCCTTGTTTGATAGACAACATTCTTGATCTTGAACAATGTTGAAAGTCAATCTTTGAATCAGTTTCTAAATACTTTCTAAATAAATTCTTCATTTAACAAATACAAGAGACATTTATTCCACATCTTTCTAGAGAAGCCATGTTTATTCTATTCTTTTTTTTAAAACTAAGATAAAGATTTTCTCTGGTTAGATATATTAATCCCTTGGATTCAACAGATCAAGAGCACCTGCCAGAAGAGCTAATGCAAAATGTATTGTGTTATGTCAGAGAAACTTAACTTCAGAAGCCGAGAAAGTTGAAATATCTCATACAAGTAACACAAAGAGAATTTACATGTCAAAAATTAGACATCTCTGAACATTCTCTTGACAACTGGAAACTACTGTAAGGGGCTGAAATCATATTCTGAGGTAAGGAGCACCTCAGCTCCAAGTTAAGGGCTCTCAGCACTTTGTACATGCATACTTTCATGTTCTCATGTACTAACCAAATACTGTGGGCTTGCTGCTGAAAGATATGGAGCTCTTGCAACTCACTGAAATCAATAGACTACTGGTACTCAGCACCTCCCCAAATCAGACCTTTAGAAGACAAGGCTAACCTGAAGGAAATGGAGTTACTCTACCTGTTTTACAGTCTTTCACATGTGCCATAGTCTCTCTAGTATTTACTCCCAAATCTTGAAAGTTACATCGGGTCTTTCCCCCTCTCTCCAGCAGTGTGCATCCAGAAACCCCAGCAGAAAGGCCATCTTGAACAGAAATGTGGAAAGAACTGTAAAATGTATTCATTCCCTGTAAATCCAGCAAAATAACTTAAGAATTCATAAATTTGGATACAGGTAGTTTTATAGCCTTCAGTGTACTAGCCTTCAATTTTTGTCAGCCTAATAGCAAGAATTAGGCTACGTAATTGGAATAGGTTTAACTGGATTTTATTTGGACAGCAGCACATAAAATATGTAATAATGAGATGCAAAAATCACGTTTTAATAACCAGAGCCTGAGCTACCACATGTTTGTCACAGCAGTATTTACAGCACCTTATTCTTAAAGTGGTTTAAAAAATAAATTCCTTTTTAAAGACAATGTCAAGATGTTTCCATATTTTTATACAAGACTTGCAACTCATTTATGTCTTTATACTTCATCCTGTTTATAATTTCACAATACATGTTAATAGATTCACTTAGAAAACAAACTACAGTGGTTAATAATAATAAAATACATTACCTATTATTAATATGTATTCTACTAGCACCAGGAGCCTCAGTCATGGACCAAGACTATTGTGCTATGCCCCGTACAAACAGAGAACAAATAGATAGTCCCTTCCTTCAAGAGTTTTCAAAGTAAAGTAAATAATGCAGTTGCCCTCTTACATCGCTGTGTAAGTTTTGTTGTTTCCCTGTGGCCACAGGAAGTTGAGGCTTCTTTCTCAGATTGCAGAGTCCTAACAGCCATGGGCTCGTCACCACTAGAACAATCCTATGAGATATGGATAAGGGATGTCCGTAAGATGGAAAATGGCTTAGTTACCAAAATAGTTACTCTGTAATAGCCCGTTGTCCTAATAATAGGATACGTTATCATGGAAGAGATGAAATTTCACTGCTGAAAGTCACCACGTACAGCACAGGTGATACTGTAAAGAAATTTCAATACTGCATAGAACAGACAGAGGCAGCTATTACAGAATAGAAATAACATTATCCCCAGCACATATTTAACTTTAAGCCTGTGCAGAAGTCCCCCATCCTTAAACACTTTCCTGATTAAGATAGATTGCTGAATCACAGCCTTAGTGAACTGAGATCATTTCATTCAGAGACCTACCCAAACAGAAGCAACAGAGAGGTACCAAACACTAGAAACAAATACAACCTGTCTACTACTTTAAAATCTTCAATTCACGAACACTAAGAGAATTCATTCTACAAAACAGCATTCTTCTGGTTTTTCAAGGGACGTTAACAGTAAGAGTTCTTTTTCTTTAGTATTTTATCCATGTAGTCACAAAAATACTGAGTCAAAAGAAAACAATTTTGGTGCTTAGTTTTGAATGGTAGAGGTCACCCCTTCTTGATAAGGCAGGCCTTTTTCACCCATTCTCTATTATAAAAACTAAACGCAGAGTGGCAGGACAGAAGGGGCACATGGACAAATTGTCCTGGAAGGACTATTAATTCCACCTTAAATGCAGGCCGCTGTTTTGCAATGTCGGTTAAAACCAGGCAGTATTCATGGTACAATTTTGTAGTTTGTGTCTTTCAAGGTTTACAAAGGAAAGCAGATAAGCTGCACAAAAGTGTGAATATTTCTGTATTTCTTGCCATTAGAGGAAGTGATATTAGACTTTTTTATTTTTTATTTCAGTGATTGATCCACAAAGATAAATTAAGTCATATGAAGGAATGAAATGGTGCTGGCCCTCAATTCACACTCAGTGTCAACAGCTACAAGAACCAGTTTCCACTCTCTGGCTCAGATACTTATACCCCACACAAGGGTGATTGGGGGCCACTGGGGAATGACACTGGGGAGAAAGGGGATGACCGCTGTCACTGATGAGCAAGGCAGGGTTCAGATACCACCCTGGTGGTCAGGGACAGGAATGAACCTGACCAGACAGCACAGAACAGGAAGTGCGGGATCTGTCCCGGCCCCGGGCCCCGCGAGGAGGACACAGGCGAAGGACACGCTGGAGACCTGACCGCTGGCCAGGGCAGAGGACACGGAGCACGTCACGGATACGAAGTACGCACCGGCCGCCGTGGGGAGCCAGGCTGCCCCGCGCTGCCGGCGGCGCCCGAGGGGGCTTGTCCCCGCGCTCGGACCCGCGCACGCCCGGTCATTTCCCTCGCAGAGGCACCGCGCGCCGCCCTGTGAGCAGGAAACACACAGACACGAGGGTGTGAAACACGCTGCCTGGGGCGGGGCCGTTACACCCGCGCGTTACCCAGCCCGCTGCCAGCGGCCGGGTCACCGCCAGGCTGGGCTGGGGCATCACCGGGCGGCGCCCACGCGGGGCGGGGCCGGAACCGGGGTGCCGGATGGGCTCTGGTGCGGGCTGGACGGCCCATGGCGAGCCGCAGCGGCTGCGACAGACGGGGAGACACCGGGTCCGCCTGCCTGGGTGTCCGGAGGCGCCTCAGGGCCTCGCCCTAGGCGCGGGTAGAGAACGGAGACTCCGCTCCGCGCGCGCTCACCAACCCCACCCGCAGCTGCCCCCGCGCTCCTCCGCACACACGTGACACTGCTGAAAGCCACGCCCCTCCAGCGGGGCTACCACGCCCGCTCTAGACTAGGCGCGTGATCCCCTGCAAGCCACGCCCCTCCCCACCCCTTGCTCCCCCTCAGTGATACGGCAGCACACGGGCCGGGGGAGTGCTGCAGCCACGTGACACCTCCAGGGGCAGGCTGGTCCTAGGGTTGAGCAGCCCCCTAGGGCAGGGCAGTGGGGCCTTCTCCGGCCCTAGGTTGGGAATGGGGAGAGCCCTGGGCAGGTGGCAGCCATACAGAGCCACAGCCCAGGAAAGACAGAGAGAGAGGGGGGAAACTATACTGCAGGCACGTTTAGGACATGGGGTGGCAATACCAGGGCACATCATGACATCACAGCCCCGCCCCAGGGTGCAGTGTCATGGTCACCACGAAATCACCTTGCAACTGACATGTCATGTCATGACAAAGTTGCTTCCTGAGATGTTACATTGTGACAAAGCCACCTCACACTGCTGTCACAACAGTCGCCTTGCGCTGCTGCAGTGCAATACCATGGCACCCAGACACGAACAGTTCATGCTGTCAGAAAAAAAGAAGCAAATAGATCTCAATACCTATGATGTATTTTCATAAACATTTAATATGCTAAGTAATGCAGCATATTTTTCCAGGCTCTTGTCAGTTTAACTTATAAGGCATATACATACACATGCACATATACATGTATCCTCTTGGTGTTCACCCAGTTACAGTGAGAAGGGGGCATGTGCTTCCTCTGGACATTTTTGCTCAGATCTTTTCATCAACCAATACGGAGATGGCTTTTGTGGGCTCTGAATATAGAATAGATCTACCAAATTAAGTTGCAAGTTGAATCCTACACAGAAATCTCCCCAAGGTAGCCTAATATACTGCTGTCAACTGTCAGGATTTTCTTGAAAACAACAAGGAGTCTGGTGGCACCTTAAAGACTAACAGATTTATTTGGGCATAAGCTTTCGTGGGTAAAAAACCTCACTTCTTCCTTGGCTGCATTTTCTAACTCTAATCTGATTCAATCTTGGCACGGGACTGCACCTTAAATCAGCGTGGAGATTGTATTAGTGCAGAGGTGCATCCGATGAAGTGGGCTGAAGCCCACGAAAGCTTATGCTCAAATAAATTTGTTAGTCTCTAAGGTGCCACAAGTACTCCTATTCTTTTTGTTAAGGTGCGTTTCTCACCATGAGCACAAGACATCAGTACTCCTGGCTTTACACTGTCTGCCTGCTGGTTACTGGATTGCATTTAAGGTGTTGTCTTGTAGTCATATCATCAGGGCCGTCCTTAGGCATACGCAGCTGCGTAAGGCACCATGAAATTTGGGGCACCAAATTGCCCTAAATTTCATGGCACTCTTGGCAGCTGCGTGCTGCATACGCAGCAGCACCAGCCCCAGTGACCAGCCCTATTCCCTCGGCTGGCCTCCCCAGCAAGGGGCAGGGCGGTCCCGGGGTGGGGGGGGCTGGACAACTCCCTCCGCCCGGCCTCTTACCCTTCCCCCCACCTCTGCCTCCATTCCACTTCTTCCCCCAGTGACCCCGTACTCACCAGCAGTGGCGGGAAGCGGAGCAACCCAGCCCCAGCCCCAGCCCGCTCTACTCTGCCAGCTCCCAGCTGCGGCACTCCACTTCCCACCGCCGGTGAGTGTGGGGAAAGGATTGACCCCCGCACTCACCAGCGGCAGGATTCGGGAAGCGGAGAGACGCGGCCCCAGCCCACTCCGCTTCCCTTGCTCCGGCCCCAGCCATGTCGCTCGGGTTGGGGAATAGGACTGCCCCCAGCTCTCACCGGCAGCGGGAAGCGGAGTGCCGCGGCTGGGAGCTGGTGGAGTAGAGCGGGCTGGGGCCAGGTGCTCCACTTCCCTCCGCTGCCAGTGAGTGTGGGGGGGGAAATCCCTCATCTGGGGCCGAGGTGAGGGAAGCGGAGCAGGCTGCTCCCGGCCCCCCACTAATCGCCTGGGCCACTCTGGGCCCCTAAGGCCCCCAAAAGTGGCCCCCCACAGCTCCTGCCTCCCAGACCCCGTGGGGGGGCTGCGTAGGGCACCCAAATGGCTAGGGACGGTCCTGCATATCATGGCTACACCTACCCTTTTGGGAGATCACCTTTCTTCCTGTTCCATCCTGCCACAACTAGTCAGAGGAGATACCTAAACTGGAACCCCCTTAATTTGCAGAGTATTTTTTGTGAAGGGCTCTAGACTTTTTCATTCATTTTTCTCCATCTCCATCCAAAATAGCCCAAATCTGTTGACATTCAAGGCTCATCTCTTTTTCCTAGCCTTTTTGGGAGCGAGGGGTGAGCTGAGATCTGGGACAGGTGCACTGGGTGTAAGCAACTGGTATGATGTTTTTCTTTTCTTCCTAGTTTCCAGCATCAGAACATAAGAATGGTCATACTGGGTCAGACCAAAGGTCCACACTAATGGGACAATGAAAAAAAAAAGTCAGCCAATTCTGCTGCTGGTGTACAAGCAAAATAAAATGTTTTCCAAGTAGAGGAAGTTAATATTTATGTGTATTCATGTACCTAAATTACATTATAATTTATGCAATGAATTGCACCTACAGTTGCCTCTATTTAGAAGCTTAACTACTTAATTGCACCAAAAAATATTGGAGGTTTGATTGAGATTTGGCTAAAAATCAGAGCACTCAGGATCTTTGATTTCAGACTGTTTAGCAGCATTTTCTAATAACTTTCAGGAACACAGGTTGTCAGTGAACAGGTTTTTTTGTTTGCTTCATGTCTGACCTAGGTGGTGCATTGGAACAAATAACCGTGTTTAGATGAGCTTGAGCTTGAGACTTGGACGAGGGCCACCTGTCTGTGACTGAATGTGGAAAAAACTGAGATTTAATGTGTGGTTTTCGAGAAGTAGCCAGAAGTGGTGGTGACGTTGAACCTGACTGAGGGAAGGCAACTACTGTTTGTAACAAAAGTGCATAGCATAGGGGCTGCTTGTAGAGGCCCAGGGAGCAGCTGTGGCTAAGAGTGTTTTTTTCCATCTGTGTCTAGTAGGAAATGGTTGTCCTTTCCTTTCCTGCCCTGTATGAACCTTTCCACAATTATCTATGCTTTCTCACAGTGAGATTGGAATATTGTAATGCACTCTACATACTCACAAAGACACCTTAGATTAGAAACTGAAGCTAGTGCAGAATGTGATGACCTGCACAAAAAGCTAAGTTTCAGGCTGAGCGTGTGTTACACCACAATTCTAGTGGTCCCAGCCAAAGCCCTAACATCTACACTGCAATTTTATAGTGCCGCAGCCTATGCACCACGAGCCTGAGTCACTGACACAGGCCCACTGTGGGAGCTTTATTGCAGTGCAGACGTAGTCTGAGAGTCTGCCTCTCTCCTTGTGTGATACAGCCCCAGTTACAATCCATGGAAGTACTTGAACTAGAGCCCCTCAATATAAAAGGGAGGGGATTGCTAGCAAAGTATTCTCTTTGATTTGCCAGATGTGTTACGCTTCAGGACATTTTTTTCCTCAGGCATTTGATAGCTGGGTTGAGGGTTTGAGAGGTCTGTTGCTTTCTGAGTAGTTAGGGTGACCAGACAGCAAATGTGAAAAATCATGACGGGGGTGGGGGGTAATAGGAGCCTATATAAGAAAAAGACCCCAAAAGCAGGACTGTCCCTATAAAATCGGGACATTTGGTCATCCTATGTGTAGTTCATGTAATCTTCTGGCATGTATTTATTTTAAGTTAGAAAGAGCAATTAACTGCTTTGAGATTTTACTGTGAAATTAAATTATTATAGGATACACAGGACATGGGATGGGCACCTACTTACGTTTATATGAATTAGAGCAGTGGTGGGCAACCACACGTGGACCGTGAGGGTAATCGCTGGTGGACCGCTAGACAGTTTGTTTACATTGACTGTCCGCAGGCACTAGGGTGACCAGATCACGCAGGTCAAATATCGGGGGGGTGGGGAGCGGAGCAAAAACAAAAAACGGCAGCAGAGCAAAAAAACACCCCCCCCTCCTCCTCCCTCCGCAAGCGCTGGAGGAGGCCCCGGAGACGCAGGGAGAGCGCGGGGCCAGGGTGAGTGAGAGTCCGGCCTGGTCCCGAGCGCAGGCAGAACTCAGTCGGGCGGTACCTGGAGGGAGAGTAGGGGGGGGCGGCGGCGGCTGTTCTCCCCACCTGGGCAGCGGGACTCGGGAGCAGCCGCTGCTGCAGCTCCTACTGCCACGGCCGGAGGAAGCGGCCAAGCACGTGGCGCTCGGCGGCTGCGGCTCTGGCACCCGGGCCCGAACCCCCCGGGCCTGTTGCGGGGACCCAGCAGCGCGCACGCTCCGCCCAGCCCCTGGCCAGTCGCGTCTGGGCTGGCTGCCCAGCTGGTGCAATCCCGCAGGCGGCCCCGGAGTGGGGGCAGCAGGCCCCAGCCCCCCGGTCCCGCTCGGGTCCCGCAGGGGAACGAACGGGGCTGGGCTGCCGATGCCTCCGCCCCAGGGCCGCCGCGGGATTGCACCAGCTGGGCAGCCAGCCCTTTGTTTCAAAGCTGTATTAAGTCAATGTTCAGTTGTAAACTTTCAAAAGAACAACCATAATGTTTTGTTCCGAGTTACAAACAACCTCCATTCCTGAGGTGTTCGTAACTGAAGTTCACCTGTAGCTCGAAAACTTATTTTTATAGGATTAAAGCCTTCTTAAAGGGTCCTTGTTGGATAAGATTTGTGAGACATTGCACCCAAAATAAGAGATTTCCCTTAAAATACAGGTGGTCTTATGAGTTCTTGCCCATAGTACCAGGTTCTTGATGCAGTACAGTTTGCTGTCATAGAGACCGCAGGCGCCGTTTTCCAATGTGCATGGGGGTGCTCGATCCCCAGCTCTGCCCCGGGCCCCACCCCCACTCCACCCCTTCCTCCAAAGCCCCATCCCTGCCCTGCCTCTTCCTGCCCCCACACCACCTCTTCCCACCCCGTTCCATCCCCTCCCTCAAGCGTCAC